ACCTCTTTCCTTTGCTGGCCTCAGACTCTTCCAGGTTCCCAGCCCAGGCTTAGCACCCAGGACATCAGATGACCCAGGTGTTCTGAGCAGAAGGAGGGTGAAGGTGGCACAAGGCATTATCACCCACTGTTCCTGTATTTTTTTAAACAGATCAAGACTGGGCTGAGTTGTGGATCAAAGAACCTGGAAGAAAAAGCCATACAGCATGAAAAAAAATGAGAAAATGGCATGGCTGGGATTGGGGAACTTCAACTTAGCTTCTCCCTGGAGAACCATCAAGTGCCTGCCCTGAATCTCCTTGAATCTTCACAACACCCTAGAGGTAGAATTCATTATTTTCATAGAGATTTGGATACTGAGGTCCAGGTGACTTTGTCTAAGACCCCCAAAGCAATGTAACAGTAGTGGCTGCTCCTTTGAGAGTCTTTCTTGGCAGTTTCTTTTCTTCCCCTCCCTCTGCCTGGCATTCTAAATTCTAAAGGAAAGCTGCACCTAAATAGTTAAGACATTAATTGCTAAATAATTTTTCTTTAGATTTACAGAATCTAGAACATCTGACCCTCAGATAACATCAGGATTTGTAAATTGCTCCCCTTCTTTAATTCTGTGCATCTCCTAATACAAAGCATTTCCATTGCTGTGATGGAACTTGTAGAAAAAGAATATGTTTGTAACTAGCCCTTGGAGGTCAAAGTTGATTGGGGGGCAGATACAAGCCCTGGAATTAGAAGACAGCACTACCCCCAACTCCCACGTAGCCTTCCTGCCTATCGCTCCTTTCCTTCCCTATAAAAGCCCCATGCGCCTCTGAGTTCCCTAAAATGGTGCTCTGAGGCAATAGTGCTCCCCACCCCATCTTCTCAGGATGCTGGTCCCAGTAAATAAAACTGATTTTCTTCCCACCAACTCTAGTCTCCCTAATATTGATCTTCCAGAGGCAAGCAAGTTGTGGAGAGAAGGACTGGATTTTTGATCCATATACCTTGAAAGCCTAAATTATTAACTCTTGCTAGAGCACTGTCTCCCAGATCATAGCTGTTGGGATTAACAAGATTATGATAGCACAGTGTAATAGTTCTCAAAATGGGATCCCTGAGCATCAACATTGCCTGGGAACTTGTTAGAAATGCTGAGTTTGGGGTCTGATCCTAGAACTTCCTGGCTCTGGAATTCTGGGGGTTGGGACAGAGGGTGTAGCTCCGTGGCACAGTATGTGCCTGTGCCTAGTATGCCTGGTGCCTGGATTCAATCTCTAGCACTAAAAGGAGAAGGAAAAAAAAAAAAAAGAAAATGAAAAAGAACCAATACAGTGGTGCATGACTATAATCCCAGAGACTTGAGTCAGGAGGTTTGCAATTTGAGGCCAGTCTTAGCAATTTAGCAAGGAGAGACCCCGAATCAAAATAAAAATTTTAGAAAATTTTTTAAAAGGGCAGGGGATTCAGCTCAGTGGTAAACTGCCTCTGGGTAAAAGAGTGAGAGAAAGAGAGAAAGGAAGGAAAGAAATAAATTAATTCTGGGGAAGGCTGGAAATAGCTCAGTGGTAGAGATCATGCCTAGTAAGCTTGAGATGCTAGGTTTATTCCCCAGTAGTTGGGGTGGGGCAATAATTCTAGGAGTGATGCCTGGCAATCTGTACAAGTTTTCCAAGTGATTCTGATGCATTCTAAAGTCTGAGGATCTTCGGCATGTAGTAGAAGGATATAAGCAAAAATAACTGAAAATGGGAGCAGACCTCGGATCAGCAATCTGTCTTTTTTTTTTTTTTTAAGCAGTGATGGAATGACATATGGCACATTTTCAAGGGAGAAAATGGTGACTGGTTACAAGAGGGGTCTGTGTTTTATAGGTTACAACGAGGATGACTTAATCATTGCAGACTTCAACAGAACATGTTGGTTTGGGACATCATAAAACAGGCTGTAAAAGTCTGAAACCCATTTTTTCCGAAAGGATGAAAAGTCTCAAGCCCAGAGCTCATTGCTTATCTTCTTCCTCCGGGGTTCATTGTCACTGGGAAAAGATTAATGTTTGTCTTCTTCCCAGTGATTGTCATTTTCCATATCTTTCAAAGGAGATGCATTTTTGGAACAAAATTAATATATATTTAAAGCATACGTTTGTCTTTTGTAAACTTTTATTGATATATAATGTAAATAGAGAAAAAATGCACAAATAAATATACATCTTGATGAATTTTCACAAAATGAGCATGCCTGGTCACCCAGATCAGGGCAGAGAACAAGCCCTTTTGTGTCTCCTTCCTGGTACTACCTCCCTTCAAAGGATAATCACTGTCCTGACTTCTAACACCGTAATTTTTCCAAATGTTATACAGTAAAAGATATGGAAGATCAAAACCCCCAAAATAGTGTGGCCTAGGAAGAGGGAGTGAGGAAGAAGGCAACACATTGGTAACATTGATCTTTTGCCAATACATTCTTTCCCAGTGACAGGACAATCCCTGGGAAGGAAACAAACATCATCCAGTGACAAGACAATCTCTGGGAAGGAGATATCCATCAAGTTTAAAATGGCTGTTTCTGGGAGGAAGCTAAAGCATTGATCCTTCCCCAAATAAATCCTTTCCCAGTGATGATACAATGGGACCTTGAAGAGATAAGCACTGAACACTGACCCCAGACCCTCCATTCTTCCCCAAGTAAAAACATTGCCCATTAAGAACAAATTTCAAATTCTTACAAATTATTTCCTGAATGTCCAAACTGCCAAGCTCTGTCAATAATTAGGTCACCTTTCAGTGTAACATATATAAGCACAGATTCCTCCTTTGGCCAGTGGCTCATTTTCCATCAGGAAAGTGGGTCCATCAGATGCTGAATAAAGGCTGTGCTGACCTGTGAAGTTTGTGTCCGCCTCGGTCATTTTGTGGTAACATACAATTTTTTAAAATTATAGACAACAAGGAGTTAGTTGGATCTTTGGTTCCTAGTTCTTTGACTGGTTCTCGGACCAGTCCATTTCATTTAGACAGTTTTCTTCTCTAATAGTCATACAGATATTTCATACCTGAAAGGATTGCTACGTTTCCCAAAATTGCCTGGTGACAAGAATCACCGAAGAAAATCCAGATTCCCTTACAGCATAATTTTTTAAAAAAATTTTTTTAGTTGTAGATGGACACAATATCTTTATTTATTTATTTATTTTTATGAGGCGCTGAGGATTGAACCCAGTGCCTCACACGTGTGAGGCAAGTGCCCGAGCACTGAGCCATAACCCCAGCCCAACAGCATAATTTTTTTTTACTGGTTCTATTAAACCAAAGTTCTCATGCATAGTCAAGTGCTCCACCACTGAGTCACATCCCCAACCCATAGAGCATTTCTTTATTTTTAGTTGTTGATAGAAATTTATTCTATTTTATTTATTTTTATGTGGTGCTGAGGATCAAATCCAGTGCCTCATACACCTGCTAGGCAAGTGCTCTACTACTGATCCACAACCCCAGCTGGCTCTTTGCTACTGAAATACATTTCTAGTCTTTTTTATTTTTATTTTTTATTTTGAGACAGGGTCTCACTTAATTGCTCAGGCTGGTCTGGAAATTGCAATCCTCATGCCTCAGTTTTCCGAGGAGTTGCTGAGGTTACAGGCATGTGCCACCAAGTCTGGCTTTCTTATGGCATAATTCTTAACAGGACAAATATTGGTTGTGGGTATATAAGAATTATTTATTTTACTCTTTTATGTCTAAAGCACATAAATATATATGTACTATGCTATAAGATTAAAATTTCAGGGAGAGGATGATTAGGAGGAAAATATGTCTAAAAATGCTTCTTGGGGGGAGTGTTGAGAAACATGCCTTAGTGCAGTGATTCTGCTAATGTGGACCTTGGTTAAAAAATGCAAATTCTTGGGTTGGGGTTTATAGCTCAGTTCAATGTTCAATCCAGAACAGCAGGGGGAAGAAAAGCAAGTTCTCAGGGTCTGCTCAGACTAGTGAATCAGAAACTCTGGTGATGGGGACCAGCAATCTATGGTTTTAAAAAACGTTCTGGGTGATCCCGATGAGTAGTAAAGTTTGAAAACTACTGCCCTATAGAATCTGAATGGGGTAAGGGACCAGGAATATATGATTTTAAAAAGTTTTCCTAAGACATAATGTAGGAAAGAAACATTGACAAGACAGTTTCAAAAGTACTTGAAAATTGTAAATGACATCACAGATGGTAAAACATTACTTACTTAGGAGGAAACAGAATAAACAATAATAGCAAAGGTCACTAATTTCTGAACACTTAGTCGAGCCTCTGAGTTGTACTTGTACAGTTCTATTCTCAGAATCCACGAAGGAGGTTAAGAAGAGCGACTCTGGAAGCCTCTGCCTGTGTTCCTATCCAGGATGCGATTTGGTTTATGGACCTGTAAAATGGGGGTAATAACTGTGTACTTCTCTCACAGGTCTGTTGCGAGGATTACGGGAGGTTGCTCGCTTTTCCGTTCTTTAATACCTGCCATGTTGGCACCAATAAATTGTCATCATCCCTAAGAACACCCTGATAAAAGGGCGGAGAAAGGAGGATTTTAACCCAATCATATGTGTCTCCGAAGTGTACATTCCTAAGAACTATAGTCCAATGTGATCTCAAATTGTGATCCCAGCTGTCAGAAGCATCATCAGACAATTGTTACAAATGCAAATTATGAAATCCCATTCCAAATCAGAAATTGGGGGTGGGGCCCAGCAATCTAACTTTTAAAATGCCCTTCAGGTGATTCTGATGCACACTAGAGTTTGGATATCACAGCTATAGTCTTTAAAGGTTCTGGTAAGGCAGATGTTAAAAAAAAAAAAAATTCTGAAGTTGCGGTGAACAGCTCAAGGTCTCTCTCACCTGGAGGTGGGAAAACTTTGTGATCTGTCGCGCAAGGCCTGCTGGGGCTTGTAGTCCGGACCGATTCCGAGGGAAGGCGCCTGCGCACTGGCGGCTAACTTGGTCTAGTCGCTGTGGTCGGGGCTCGGGACCGGCTGCCATCTTAGTCGAAGGGACTGAAGATTCGCCGCCGCCCCAAGTCCCGGTAAACACCCGCGGGCGGGCTGGGAGCCGTTCTGGGGACCGGAGGGAGCCTGGATGTGAGTGCCTGGGGGAAGGAAGGGGAGATGAATGCGGCGTTCAAGCCGGGGCGCCCAAGCGGTGGCTGCTCCTTCCTCTCTTAGAGCCGGTGCCCGTGGGGGGCGCGGGGAGCTTGGGCTGGTGGCCCGGGCTGGGCAGGGGTGGAGGGGCCAACCCGACTCCCCGAGAGGCCAGTGCCTGGTCGAGATGACCGGAGCCCCTCGCCTGGCCGGCTGCAAGTTGTGAGAGGGCCGGGCTGTGTCGGACGTGGGCAGGGTCCGGCCCCGCGCCCCTCTGCCGCGCCCGGGGGCCACTCTCCAGCAGTCTGGCCTACGCGCGGGGCCCGGCTGCAGCGGCCCGCCCGGGCGACGTGGCTCTCTGAGGGGCGGCGGCCGGGCCCACCTGCCACCTGGCTGGCTTTCCCGAGAGTTTTCCAAGCCCCCTCTCGCTGGGAGAGCCCGACACGGCGGCTGCCTCCCGTTCTCTCTTCCACTCCCCTCTTCTCTCCATTGTCCCCTAGCGCGGTGGTCCCGGCCTGGGCGCCCTCCCTGGCGCCCGCCGCCACGGCGCCGACTTTTGCAGACGTGGAGCTGTCACTGTCCTTCTTCCTGAGAGTGCCCTTTTCTTTGGCAGAGCAAAGAAAAAAGTAGCCGTGAACCATTCGGAGTGTCGAAACATGATGAGGATATGACTTTTAAGTAGGGAATTAAACTTTTCAGACTTAGTTCCAGGCCGCGACTTAAACAGAAACACAAGGGTCAGTCTGTGCACCCTAGATAGAGCGTGGGCCTAAAGTTAGCGACATATCGGGTGAACTTGCGAAGTACCGGAGATTCACTATTGCCCTGTAAATCAGCTTGTTTTCTTGGCTACTTTCGTATCCAAATCTTGTTACATTTTCTGCCACTCTTCAATGGCTGCAGTAAACTTATTTTGAAGTCGGGGGGGGGGGGGGTGGGATTTTTCTTTGAAAATTAGGGAACACAAGCCAGCCATCTATCATTGCACTTAAGTGGGATTTCCTATATCTATTTCTATATAATTAGATCCTGAGTATGTAAAGGCAGTGTATTTTCACTCTCAAAATTGGCAAAGAACTTGGTTCTCATTGGAAATAAAGTTCTCATGGGAAATCTGGCGAGAGCCAATGCTGTGTAGTCCACAGTTTACTCCAGGTGCAGTTATTTCATTTTTCAGATTTAGAAATGAAGGTGGAAATTCTCTTTTGAATAGTGAATGTATGTCCAAAAGGAATTCATTCATCTTCAGCGTACAAATCACAGGGATGTAATATGAAATAAGAAACAAGTGCAGAATACTTCTTCATTTTATTTTGTTAAAAGTAATTTCTTTATTTGTTTGGAAAAAACACACGTCTTTGTACTTACTGGGAGAGAGATAAGCTTGTGATCCCTAGATTTGACCACTAGAATAATTGGAGCTTTTTAAAAGTAGAAGTCCCAGGATCTCATTTCTGATATGATTGGTAGGTTTGGGTTGACTCCTCCCAATTTATTTTAAAAACATGCCTCAGGTAATTTTGGGAACTACTAAACTGTAGACATACCAAGAACAGCTCAAAAATCTTTGAGACAGAAAAGAAAGTTTCTCGTTCTTTCTGGGGTTTGGCCAGAGGAGGGGGCAAAGCTTGCCTGTGGAGTAGAAGTTCCATCTTAGATGATAAATGGAGTGTGGTAGAGGTGGGGAAAAAGGACAGAGCAGGCAGAGGAAATACCTTAATGCTTTAATGTTATGTTCATATTCAGGGGATTGTGGGAGAAAAAGGGTTGGGGTGGGGGAAACCGGGATTGGAATGGGGAAAGAGAGCATTTTTGGGACTTGAGAACAGAAAAAAAAAAGGAGGCAACTATATGAACTGTTCTAAGTATAATTCTAAATTTGAATTTCATGTTTTTAGAAATAACAGATTTTTAGACAGGAAAGAGATGTGAATACATGTGTATTTAGAAAGATGGCTCTGGTGACAAGAGAAAGGATAGAAGAATGACTGTTGTAGAAGTCTAGGTCTTGAGAAGTGGTAAAGCTTGACTTTGGAGGTAGGAATGATCAAGAAGTTGGATTTCTTTTTCTTTTTTTTTCTTTTATATTTTATTATTATTATTATTATTATTATTATTTTTAACCATACGATTGAAGTTGGATTTATTTTTCTACCAGTGCAATTGTGTTGCCAGATTTTTGGATACACACACACACACACACACACACACACATAATTTTTTTTCTGAGTAAAGAGCTCCTTTTTTTTTTCTTTCAAAAAAACCCATTAGCATGTCTGAATAATATTGACAGGTTATATATGTTAATAATATCAGAGTGAATTGTTTATACGCATCTTTGAGAAATTAGAACCAAATTAGGTGTCATTTGGAACAGATTTGGAGTTTGAACTGAAATTTGTGACTATCGACACTATTGATTTAGTCTTGTTAGAAGTGTTTTCTTCTGGCTCACAGAAACTTTGTATTTGAGTTTTACAGTTGGAAGAGATTATCTACTCCATAGTAGCAAATATATTTTGGTTTATAGGCTAACTGGAAATAGCTTCCAGCAACACTGTGTGAGGGATTCTGGTTGTGTGAGTTCTGTGGGGAAGTGTTGATTGATTAGTGATGCTACCAGTGGACAATTGCCTAATAGGTGATTTATAATGTTAGCTATATTCTATTCTTAGACTGGTGGCAACCTCTTAATTATCTGTTTATTTTTTAAAAATTACACATTTTGCCTAAGAAAGTTAAGAGTCAGAACTAGAACTAGAACCAGGTTTTGCAACTCTTGGTTTGGTATTCTTCAGTTTATCAAGGTGAATTGTGCTATCAAAGAAATTCTGGAATTATACCAATAAAAAAAGATATTTCTAGCTTATGCCTCTTAACTGTTTAGGCAAGAATTCATTCAATGAGGAACTTTGGCCCAGATATGAGTTTTGTTATATTCATTCTAGCTTAAGAAATTTGTGTTAGTCCTGATAGGAAATATCTCCCTCCCTTCTCTACTTCCCTTCTTGTTCCCCTTTCCTCTCAGTTTTGGGTTTTGGGGATTAGTTTCCTTTAAATGAATTAAGGAAAGGTATTCAAAGTTATTATGTTTCCCCCCCCTGTATTTGTGTTGTTTAGTCAAATTCTGGGCTCATAATAAGCATTCATAAAAGGCATGTTGATTTTTGTGGCTGTGATACTGGCTTTGAGTCAATATAAATCAGCAAGAGGATTTGCAGAATTGAATTCTAGCCTTCTCTGGTTGGGAAGTTGGCCCTCAGCTAAAAATGTTCAGTTGGAAACTATCCTCATAACTAGAAGCAGTTAACTAGAAGCTGTTCTTGTCCCTTTCCTCCTTCATTCTAGCAGTGCACTGTCCTTGGAAAACTGCTGCCAGCTCAGCTTTTTTGCTTCTTTTCAGAACTGATTATACCCGGATCCTTGGAGTGCTTTTTATTTTCCTGTCCCTAGGAGCCTCCAGATTGCAAAAAATGTCCTTATAGGCAATGACCCTTATAGACAGAATGTGTGTTTATATGGCCATCCTCATTTTGCTGCACATGTCCATTATACCCAGATGGGTATCACCCCATACTGTGTGTGATTCATTTTCCCCTAACTTGCCCTTTTATCCTTCCTGCTCCATCAAAAATTTTCCCTTTTTTTTAAGACCTGTGTGGTGGTGGTGGTGGTGGTGGGGAGAACCTTGTTCTGTGAGATTCACAAGGTCATCACAAATCTGATGTATTTATGGGAGTAACTTTTTAATGGACCCTCCTTCCCCTCTCAGGTAACATGCATTTCACAGTGGCCTTCTGGAGACAACGCCTTAACCCAAAGAAGTGACTCGAACAGTGAGAAATTCAGGTACAGTGACATTCCTGTGAGTGATATTTGGGGACAGGATGGTACAGAGGGCAAGCCCTGGTCATATAACTGCTGTGGGAGATGTGGGGACAGAGCAGTGTTGATGCTGGCTGCATCAATTGGTTGAAGAAACAAATAGGCAGTTTACACTTGGATCTGTAACCCAAATCCTTTGCAAGGATAAGCCTGTGAACCACATCGTCTCTTAATTTGGGTCCTCTGACTTTTCTGTTTTTATAACTCCCTTATATATATATACACACTTTTTCCACTAGTGTTGTTTTATAAATATTAATCTCTGTAAACTTGTCCAGACACGGGCATATGTGTGGTGAAGAAGTGGAGGAATTAAAAAGAAGTCAACATGGTATAGTAGAAACAGTTGAAAGAAAAGATCTGGATTCTCGTTTGATTTTGTCACTGACAAGCTGTGTGACTTGGCAATTTATTTAGTCTTGTTCAGCCTCAATTTATTATCTTTAACACAGATGTATTGCTTCTTACCTTCCATCTTGGCATGGTTGTGAGGGTCAAATAAAGCATATTAAATCTTCAGAAAAGAGTATGAATCTACAATTTAAGACAATATTGCTGGGTGCAGTGGCACATGCCTGTAATCCCAGAAACTTTCCCTGAGACAGGAGGATTGCAAGTTTGAGGTTAGCCTCAGCAATATTGTGAGACCCTGTCTCAAAATAAAATATAAAGGGCTGGGGATGTAGCTCAGTGTTAGAGTGTCTCAGAGTTCAATCCCTAGTACTGCCCCCCAAAAAACCCCAAAAAACAAACAAAAAAAAGATATTATTTAGATATTGTCTAGATCCATGAGGTGGAAGAAGTGTTGGCAATATTATTGTAAGGAAAGCATGAGGACAAGAGAGATTTCATATTAAAAATGTGAAGAGAGAGAAGAGGAAGACTACTGATTAAGGCGGGGGTGGGGGGCCTTGGGAAGTAGACCATAAAGCCAAACAGTGAAAGAATAGAGTAGGTAGGTGAATTGTTAGGTAAAAAAGCTTAATAGGGAGAGAAAGGCAAAATACTATATGATTCAATCATTTCCAAAGGAAATAAAATCACTACCTAAGAGAAATACCTGAGTTCCTAGGTTTGTTGCAGCATTATTCACAATAGCCAAGATAATGGCTATTGTGTCTGTTGACAATGAAGGGACTACAGAAATTGTGGTATGTAAGTGATGGAATATTACCTAGCCCTAAAAAAGAAGGAAATCTGGCCATTTGGGACAACATGGGTAAACCTAAAAGACATTATGCTAAGTAAAATAAGCCACAGAAAAGCAAATATATGATCTCACTTATATATGGAATCAAGAAAAGTCAAATTTATAAAAATAGTAGAAGAGTTGTTAGCAGTAGTTAGGTGGGGGAATGGGGAAAATGGGAAGATGCTGGGTTAAAAGGTACAGACTTATAAATTGAATAAATTTGGGAGACCTAATATACAGAATGGTAACTAGAGTGGATAATAATGTATAATTTCAAATACACATTATGAGATATAAAAGAATAGATTTTAAGCATTCTTACCATACACACAAAAAAGATAACTGTAGGGATGGGTGTAGTAATTAGCTTGATTGTATCACTTTACATGTTGTATACAGATATCAAAACAAGGTATACATATACACCTTGATATATAAATATACACATAAAAACATATATTCTATATATCTATCTATCTCTATCTATCTATCTCTATCTACCTATCTATATCTATATCTCTATATATATATATCCTCCTGTTTCAGCCTCTTGAGTCACTGGGATTACTGTCCTGTGACACCATGCCTGACTAACTTTCATTTCTTTATATATATAGTTTTTATTTGTTAGTTATGCCTCCAATAAGCTGGGGGTAAAAAAGAAACTTAAAAATATAAGACTCTCTAATATCCAGTGGTTATACGTGAGAAGTCATGTTATATTTCTGCTTTAAACATTGGCAAGGAAGAGAGTAGTCCCTCATTTGCTGAACCCTAATCTTGAGACTTTTAGTAGACATTGTCTTCATCGCCTTGCTTGACGTACCCATTCATACCTCTGTTCTTGTCTCCACTGTAAGCACTAATGTTTGTTATCAATTCACCTGTGTGACCCTTTGTTTTATATTTTTATTAACTAACTATCCTACAAATGCTTGAGACAGACTAGGGATGTCATATGCTTATCATGGTATCCCATTTGCTGTTATTAAATGTATGCTTAATCTGTTTCTTTTGATAATTATGAAGAGAAAGGAAGGAGATGGTGGGGTGATTTGTGAGTGATACTAGAAAGGAAGTGGGTAAGAAGGAAAGCAGTTAAATAAGATGGTAAAAGGAAGAAGTCTTAAAAGATGACAGGTGAAAAGACATGAAAATGAAAATATGGAGGACAGAAAAGAGGAAAAGGAATGGTGTTCTCTGCAGCAAAGAAACAAGGTAGCTTTCATAACTTTCATTTCTTTTTGGTACTGGGGATTGAACCCAGAGGCATTTTACCACTGAATTACATCCCCAGCACTTATTATTTTTTATTTTGAAACAGAGTATCGGTAAGTTGTTTAGGGCCTTGCTGAATTGCTAAGGCTGGCCTTGAACTTGTGATCCTCCTGTTTCAGCCTCTTGAGTCACTGGGATTACTGTCCTGTGACACCATGCCTGACTAACTTTCATTTCTTTAATGATCTAGTACCTTACAAAAAGTAATGTGCTGGGAAAGATCATTTTCTATATCAAATATCTTTAAAATATTTCTTAAAGTATCAATTTTATCCCAAGTTCACGAAGCAGTTCTTTTTTGGAAAGATATGTGGGGTCTAGTCATGGTAATTTTCATTTCTTAAATTCTGTGATCATGGGCAGTTCACTTAAGTCTCTCTAGGATTCATTTCCTCACTTGTCTGTTGGATGTTTTGAATATGATCTCTCAGGTTCTTTCTGGCTTACTCTGATTATACTTAGTGCCTCATATGCAGATTGACTTTTTTTCTGGGCTTTGTTGACAACACAATATAGGATTAGTTTCAGAAATATTATAAGATTTTCTAATATCCAGTGCTTCATAAATGAGAAGCCATGTTTATCTTAATTTTTTTTTCCCCTGCTTTTGGTACTAGGGATTGAACTCAGAGGCACTCAACTGTTGAGTCACATCCCCAGCCCTATTTTGTATTTTAGTTAGAGACAAGGTCTCACTGAGTTGCTTAGCACCTCACTTTTGCTGAGGCTGGCTTTGAACTTGCGATCCTCCTGTCTCAGCCTCCTAAGCCTCTGGGATTACAGATGTGTGCCACCGCGCTTGGTCTTTTTTTTTTTTTTTGAGTCAGGGTTTTGTTAAATTGCCCAGGCTGGTCTTGAACTTGTGGTCTTCTTGCTTTAGCCCTATGAGTAGCTGGAATTATAGTCAAGCGCCATCATGCTTTGCTTAGTCTTTTGGTTCTTTGTTTGTATGCATGAGGTACTTGGGATTGTACCCAGGACTGCTCTACTACTGAGTTGCATCACTCCTATCCTTTAAAATTTTTTTTTTTTAAATTTGAGGCAGAGGCTCCCTAAGTTGCTGAAGCTGGTCTTGAACTTGTGATTTTCCTTTCTCACCCTGCTGAAATGCTGGGATTATAAGTGTGTGCCATAGTACCTGGTTAGTCTTGATTTTTGATCACAGAGGAAAGGATGCTAAAGAATCAATGTGGAGGTTAATGTTGTATATTAGAATTTGATTTTTTTTGGGGGAGGGAAGTACTGGGGAGTGAATTTAGGGGTGCTTAACCACTGAACTACATCCCTAGTCCTTTTTATATTTTATTTAGAGATAGGGTCTCACTCAGTTGCTTAAGGCCTTGCTAAGTTGCTAAGGCTAGTTTTGAACTTGAGATCCTCCTGTCTCAGCCTCTGGAGCTGCTGGATTATAGGCATGTGCCACCAGGCCCAGCAGAATTAGATAGGTTTTGAACTTTGATTCTACCATGAATTGGCAGTGTGGCATTGCTCAAACTGCTTGTTTGTGCCTTAGTTTCCTCATCTGTAAATTGGGAATAGTTAAGGCATATATATCCATAGAGATCATGGGTTTCTGTTTGAACAAGGCTCTCAGAAAACATGAAATGCAAGTTGTTAATTGTTGTCATTATTACCACCAACCTTCTTTTCTTAAATTATTATGTATTCATTCAGTAAGATTATTTAGGGTGAATATGATAGATTCCAATGTTGACAAGAGCAAGAGGAATAATTAAGTCAGTGATGACATATCAGATTGGTACTTTAAGCTAGAAAATTCATGTTCTTTCAAAGGGTTAGCTGTTAAAGCAAATGTGACACACTTTTTAAAAAAATATTTTTTAGTTGTAGATGGATGAAAATACCTTTATTTATTTATTTAATTTTATGTGGTGCTGAGGATCAAACCCAGTGGGCTAGGCAAGCACTTTACTACTGAGCCACAATCCCAGCCCTGGCACACTGTTTTTTAAAATTTAATCAATTAATTTTATAGTACTAGGGATTGAATGCAGGATGCACTATCACTGAGTTAAACCCCAACCCTATCCATTTTTTATTCTAAGACAGCCTTGCCAAGTTGTCCAGGCTGGCTTCAAATTTATAGTTATCCTGCCTCAGCCTCCTAAGTAGCTGAAAATGTATGTGCCCAGCTGGCTTACTATTTTTTTGTTTTAATTGAAGCAAAATTTATTCTTACCACAAAAAATAAGTATATGAGGTTATATATGTTATTTAGCTCAGTTTACTACAATGTACGTATTTCAAAACATATTGTACGTGACATATTCTTTTTATCAATTAAAAGTAAATTAAAGGGGCTGGGGATGTGGCTCAAGCGGTAGCACGCTTGCCTGGCATGCATGCGGCCCAGGTTCGATCCTCAGCACCACATACAAACAAAGATGTTGTGTCCACCGAAAACTAAAAAAATAAATATTAAACAAATTCTCTCTCTTTCTCTCTCTGTCTCTCTCACTCTTTCTTTAAAAAA